GAGAGACAACATGCCGCTCCCTAATTCCCGCCCTTCTTGATGTAACTTTTAACATTTAGCATTATACGACGAGGTTGGTTTTCTGACCTTTGTCAGTTTTCTTTAAACAGTGATTGTCACGCGCCTGCGCGCAATCTCATGTTGTCTCTCCTTCTTGAATTCGCGGATCGGTAGAATCCCAAATACCCTTCCTTTCAATCGGTTATTTGGTAAACTTACTCCATGTGCCTCTTTTTCGCTAATGCCTCACTTGACTGACGCTACAACAGAGACTCATAATCCAAAGAACTTAAAAACTGGCAACTTCAATTTTGTCTCGTTCTCGATTTCTTTTCAAAAATTTTCAAATCTACCCCCCTGATTGGCACATTTGCACAGCTTTTTCATTCATTTGTAAAAATGTTAGTTTGTTCGTACGTATGGATGGTCTTTTCTTCTTCTTCTCTTGGAATTGCATTTTCTCTGGTGTGGCTGTTACAGTGAAGACTTTGCAACAGTAAGTAATCCTTTTTGCAGTAATTTTCCTGTAATTCTTTCAAAGAAGTCAAGTAGAAAGATTTTTAATTTATTTCTAATTAATTTTTAATCAAACAAGTATAGTTTATTTCACCTCTTTGCGTGAATTATTGCGCCTTGTGGCTGGATAAGTTTGTTAGCGTCATGATATCCTAAGTCAAATTAATGGGGATAGATAAGTAACTGAAGGAGAAAGGCTTGGTTCAGGAAAATAAAAAACAAGGGCTGTTTTTTTTCAAGGCGTTTATTCTACCAATAATTTTTCCACACCAGTTTAATTTGTTTGCTATGTCTATGTTCTATGTGACAACTGAATCGAATTAAGACAGACAATTCTTCCAATCAAGTAAAATTTCATTGTGGACTTTTTCAAGAATATAATATGAACTTATTTATAGCATCATTTATAACTTCAGTTTTGTCAAAGTGACTTTTTCTCTTGGTAGTTTATTATTTTGTAGTAAACATGGTTTCATCCAATTGAATTTGGTATATAGACAGGGAATTTTTAACAACAATCGAGCAAAGTGCCTAACCTTAGTTTTTTCTCTTGATTTGGGTACTTTCAGCCTTGCTTAATATTTTAAGCCTTGGATACATTTTTGTAACACAATAGAAATCACATGATCGACGACGTCATTTTCCCCGGTCATCAAAATTTTTAATTCTCTTTTTTGAAAAATCGCTCCAACCATCTTCTTTGGCATTGTAATAGGAGCAAAAAGTTATAAATAATAAACTCTATCAGACCTGTAGATAACGAGTTATTGCTATTTAAAGTTTGCATGACGTCATCAAAATGGCGGTTCTGCAATTTTCACGCATGTGGAATTCGAAGACTGGTTGTCGTAAATTAGGTTGCTTTATCTCGATTTTGAAGTTTTTTGACCTTCGTGTTATTTAGCAACTCAAGAATGTCATTTGAGCTGATATATTTGCCCGCCTGGGAAACTAAGTATTGAACAAAATGTAAGCAAAAGGAAAATGTTCTAATAAAAATTTTTCTTCAAAATAAGCTATACTGAAGGGGAGCTGTCGTCAGCAATGAAAGACCGTTGATTTGTCAGAATTGTCGCTCGGCAATGTACTCCAACTTTTGCAATTTGAAGTTTTGCTGAGATGTGATCTGGCATGAAGATGCTAGTGTTGGAGAATATACAAGTACATACTTAGCTCATGTACTTGTACTGGGCTGCCAGAGGGGGACAGCAGTGGACAGGAAACTTATTTTCTTTGCAAGGATAAGGACCACGAACCCCATCTAGAAAGCAAAGCTCTGTTCAATTGTTTCTACCATGTAAAGGATAAAGTTTAGGAAGAAATCTATTCGCGATTTAGTGATAGTGAATACTACTTTTTATGTGCTTTGGCGTAATGAAGGCATCTGGGGCTCTAAGCAAAAACTGCTACGGGACTTCTATTCACGGACAACAAGAAGATCACATAAACTGGTGTATAGCATGTCAAACACAATGGAAAAAGATAAAATTAGAATTATTTTTCTAGTTTGCTAGGGAACTTCAGCTTTGACTTTAAAACTTCAGTTGAAGAACTTTCAAAGTTTTCGAAAGTTTTTTGAACTTGAGCAAAGCTTTAAAGATCTTTACGTAAAAGCACCTTGGGTCCCTTTTGGCCGGGGACGGGCTATATATTTGTGAAAGACACTTCTCCGAGGATCAACTTTGGATTTGTAAATAATATTTATGTTTTCTTTATCTATAACTGCTCAAAGCTTTTGATATTTGCTCTCTGATCTCTTCTGTGTCACTTATTTAGGATACACCAGTAGCGATTGCCGAGGTTGGGCCTAAAACAGTGAACTCGACGCCTGCTTTTCCCTTCGTTCCACTGATGGCAGGAATACTGTATGTGAAATTGCTGGCGCATTGAGCATTTAGTGATGCATTATTTTGGCATTGATAGTTAATTTGAGAATATTTTACACCCATTGCATTTTATTGCAGCCTTTTTATCACATACGGTGAATTAATGTTGCTTTCTCTTCATGTTATCATGTTCTGGATTTGAGGTCTATAGAGAAAAACCAGGTCTCTAATTGAAACTGTATCTTTTATTTTATTCCTTAGATCCAACACGAAAAGCTCTTAAAGATGGGGTGCTGCCATCACTGCATCTTCAAAAGAAGAGCCTCTCTGTTTCTCCCCCTCCCCCACGTTCAACAACAGCTACCAAGAAAAAAGAAGAAAACATATCTTCAACAGTCTCCTCATCTTCAGTTCCTATGGCAGTTTACAAGAGCTTTCCCGAATTTCAGCAACGCATTTTAAAGCTAAAGCTCGGAGATTCTTGGCACATTGATTTGTCTGAGTTCTTGGTAAAAATTTCTTCCAATATCGAGGATTATTTGCTTCCTAAATATGAAATCTTTGTGAAACCTTCTCTTAAATTTTCTTTGCGAGTTTTGGCTGGATGCTCATTGATGACCATGATTTATATGGAAAATATGAACGATCTTTAACAAATGTTACCTTGTCCAATCTTATTCAAGAAATTGAGCAATCTTTATTATGCAAAGGAATTTATATACCTGATGCTAAAGCCACTGCAAGCATTCAAAGGCATGTGATCCCGAGAAAGTTCTCATATCTTGAATATCAACAAAGCTCTTCCCAAAAAAGATGGCTTCAAGATGAATTTTTACAATCTGGAAACTGTTCTCTCCTTTTATTAGGTAAAAATCAATGTTCTTCTTGCCTTGCTCAAGGTGCAAATTTTATCTATGAAAGCAGACGAAAAGAAAGTCGATTAAATGAGCCTGCTAAGCTGTTTGCTCCTATTAAATTCACAGCCCCTGAAAGAATAAAGCTAACTTTGCAACAGAACCGTTTGAAATGCAAGCAATTTGAGCAGCAAATTGAAGACATGAGGCAGTCCTTGGCAAATCACAGCAAACCAGTTGATCCTCAACTTAGCAAAGATCTGATTTCCTTGTTCAGCGGTTGTGACGAAAAAGATGTGCCACCTTTCATGAAATTGTTTTGGGAGGAACAACAGAACTATATAGCTGAGTCCAAATCCAGCAGCATTAGATATCATCCAATGGTCATCAAATTTTGTCTTTCTCTTGCCTCAAAATCTTCCTCTGCTTATTCTGATCTTCGCTATGACAGCAAAACTGGTTCTGGTATTTTAGTTTTGCCAAGTTTAAGAACACTGAGAGACTATAAGAATTATATTCGTCCAAGAAGAGGATTCAATCCCGACATTATTAATGATTTATCTGTAAAGACAAAGGAATTTTCTCCTGCTGAAAGATTTGTCACCATTTTATTTGATGAAATGAAGATCCAGAGAAGATTTGGTTTGGTGAGCATACTGGTGAGCTTATTGGCTTTGTTGATCTTGGTGACATTGATACAAATTTTGCCACTCTTCAAGATGTTCAACAGCTTGCCACACATGTCCTTGTATTCCTCATCAAAAGTGTTGTCAATCCTCTTTCTTTCAGTCTTGCAACATTTGCTACCACTGGTGCAACATCTTATCAAATCTTCCCCATCTTCTGGAAAGCAGTAAACATTCTTGAGAATATCAATTTGAAAGTCATTGCCGCCACTGCTGATGGAGCATCTTCAAATCGAAAATTCTTCCGCATGCACAAAGCTCTTGATGGTGACAGTCATGACAAGGTTGTTTATCGTACCAAGAATCTTTACAGTAAAGATGAACGCTACATTTATTTCTTTGCTGATTTGATGAAAACAGCTCGTAATTGTCCTGCAAAATCAGGATCTGGTCGTACAACACGTCTCTTATGGAATGATGGCTTGCACATCCTCTGGTCTCATATTTCTCAGTTCTATTTTGATGACTTGGACAGTGGCCTGAAGATGCTCCCCAAGTTAACCAGTGACCACTTTAATTTAACACCATATTCTGTCATGAGGGTTCATCTTGCTGCTCAGGTTTTAAGTGATACAGTTGCAGTCTGCTTGGATAAATTTGGCCCCCCTGTAGCTTCTGCAACAGCCAAGTTCTGTTCAATGATGGACAAATTCTTTGATTGTCTTAATGTCAGAAACACCACTGAGCATGTCCTGAAGAGAAAACCCTTTTTACAGCCATATTCTGATGTTGAGGATCCATGATTCACCTGGTTGGACCAGTTTCTTAAATATTTTTCACACTGGAAAGATTCTATTGAAAAGCGCAAAGGAAATTTCTCAGAAAATGCAAGGAGCAGTATGTTCATTTCTTGGCAAACATATGAAGGTCTTCAAACAAGTGTCCTTTCCTTCAAAGAAGTTTGCCAATTTCTCCTTCAAAATGGTGTTCCTTATGTTTTATCTAACCGTTTCTGCCAAGATGATCTTGAAAACTACTTTGGCAGAC